CACAGTGTGACCCAAATAGCAGTCCTGTGCTGGACCTCTGTCTCACAATTACCTCCTTCTCTCAGAAACAGCTGCCAGAGCAATTGAAGTGCATGATAATCCTTCCCTGCCTAAAAGATCACTGCAAAGTGTGTCTGCTGTGTAACATTATAGGAAAGGTGCATCAACAAATGAGGCAACATCATAGTTCAGATTTGCTCCCCACAAAAGGCCAGTGAGCTCAATTACCATGGAAATACCTCCTCCCTGCCCTAGTCCACCTGCAAATTCAAAGCCATGGAAGTTGTTCAAGTGAATCCAGGACAGCAGAGGATCCTCAATCTGACACTCCATTGTGTACCACTTGATCACCTAGAAGCACACAGTTGATCTAATGGGTGCTCATTATTGCAACCCAGCTGCCTGTCGTTGGCCAAAGCAGCAGGAAAAGGCAAGAAGATGTAATATGACATTTGGTTTACCTATAATAAGGAAACAAAGGGTCAGCAAAATATTGGCTCTACTCAACACCTACCCACCTGTGAATGAGATGTAAAACACCAGCCCCCTGAGACAAATAAGGACTTTAATCTGCTTTGCTAGAGAAGCCTTGGAGAGGTCAAATGACTTTTTTTTTTTTTTTAAATAACCTTGGGAAGGGGAAATGACCCATGAAGGTTTCACAGACAAGGGTCACAGCACACTCCCTCCTGAGGAAGTGTTTAAAACTATGTGATACTTGAAGACATTAAAAGTTTCTTCTTCCCTTGACAGGCAGAAACTTTAAATCAAAATAATGCCATTACAGAAGGCCTGGGAAAATGTTTTTGCCTTTTCTGCCTAGACAACAAAAATCCCCACCCTGAACATCGATTCCCTCTTGAAACTACTTGTACTTCTATCTCAGGCTCCTACTGCTGATACTAACTACTGTCGAATCATTACATCAGTATGATTTAATGGAGTCATGGTTTCAATGACTGTAGCCTATGCCTACCATGAAAGAGTAAGTTAGCCTGAGTGTTTGAAGGTGGTTTTTGTTTTTAAAAGTAGCCTAAGCCTTCCATAGCGGTCCAAAATTCTGCATACCCAACAACTGTATCATCACAAAACATTTTAAACAACATACTGGCATGAAGAACTCACAAGAGCAATACAATAGTAACAAAATCTCAGAGCCTCATTTGTCTGTTTATATTGCTATATGTTACTGCTATATATGTATCTGCACACAGAAAGTGTGCATGGCAATTCACAATGGCATCCTTGCTCCAAGGAATATACACTGAATATAAATCCTTGCCTGGCAGGAATAGCAGCATGTTCCCTGCACACTGTAATTTCCCCTTGAGGGAAATCCACAGAGGAAACTTTGCACAGGGGCAAACTCTGGTATAGGAAATTGCTTGGGCTCAATCACAAAGTCATTAATTTTGATGGATCTGAGAAGCAGAACTGAACCCCAAAGGAGCACAAAATCCCAGGTGTCATCTCTTAAGATATATTGTCCAAAGCTAGGTAGGATTTCTATCCATCTCTGAAGGAACCAGAGCTTCTTTTCACCAGGGAAGGGTAAGTGCGGCTGATCATGCAGAAACTAAGTTCTTCTAGGTTTGCACATACTCTATTTTATTTGATTTCATGTTTCTTAAAACAATACAGTTCGTTTGCTTTGTTTTTCAAATAATATATGCCACTAGTGGAATAAGAGAAAATGACAGTGAAAGGTCTAAATTTCAATTTCTTTTCTTCACTATTATCTTCATAGATTAACACTGTACTGAAGTGCAGTGTAATTTATTACAATTATGCCTAATTAATAAAACCAAGGCGTTTACCAGTGTTCTACAAAATGTCTAATAACAAAGCTATACATAAAGTAATAAGAATGAAGTGCTTCACCTTTAGAGTAAAGCTTTCTTTACAACTGTCAATAATCTATATGCTTTTTTATCTCATATCAATTTTTTTTTTTAAGAAAATTAAGAAAAAGGTAGCATGTCTGACCATGTTTATGTGACCAGGCCAAGACGAAAAGGTGTTTTAGTAACACCAGAACAGTAGCACTTACATTTACCTATATGGGAAAACAAGGACTGTGCTAGGAATATGCCAGTTAACAAGCATGGAAAAAATCAAAAAAAGGAAACATTGTACAGGAAAATGATAAATTCTGTTACCTCAAGGGATGAAGTGGAAAATACAGAACTGCTCAGAGGCACACAACATCACTATTATTATCGCTATTTGTCGAATCACACTGAAACAGTGAACACAGTTGACTCAGGACAGCAGGTCCCTAAGAAGATCTTGAGATCTACATGTTTTTGTGCTCCATAATGACTGATACTTGTACAAAGTTTTCTGCTGCACAGCAACCCTATCATATTCACTATCCAGACCTTCTTCACATATGCTTTTTCACAAACTTTCACCCTATAAATAATAAAAACTTCTTCAATAACTTGAAGAATAAAGCAAAAACTCCTTTTGGGGGAAGGGGGGGGTTGCGCAAATAAACTTCTGCATAAAGCCAGCTACAAAAAAGTTATGTCTTGTTATTCAAAAATGCACCAGAGCTCACTGTATTATTGTGTGACCAACTCCTCAGCTAGGATTTCTGTTTTGCAACTGGGACATGAATTAGTGACAGTGGAGCTGACTGCTTAGTTTCACATACAACCAGCCTCCCTGCATTGTTATAGCCTTTTCATAACTCTTCACTGATGTGCTTTAACTCACTGTTGCATAAAGAAAAGAGCATTCCGTATACCACCCAGTAACTAACTTGCATATTCAGATCTTCCAGCCCAGAAAAAAAGAATTAAAATGGAAGTGCAGACATAATCTGACACATATTAGTTATTCTCTATTGATCTACAGAACATTAGGGTTTGTTTAGCACAAACACCAGCAGTAACACCGCAGAACAGTTTATCTGAATCTGCTTGCTTTCACTATCTCAAAAACATTCTTCTTAGGCTGAAATTTTCCACAGCTGGTTCTCATATTGGGGCAAACTGTTTTCCTGAAGTCCAAGGAAAATGCTCTTCAGGGTTTTTGAGTCATGTGAAAAAGCTGTAGAAAGGGGAGTAGGGAGGAACGAGGACTGCTCTCATTGTGGAGAAATTATGTCAATCATTCTTTTCCTCACAAACTTAAAATTAGCTTTATTTTAAAATCCTATGGAAAGATACATTCCATGGTCAGAAGAATACTTAGGATCATCTAGATTGACCTCTTTTGTAGCACAAGGTAAAGAATGTCTACCAATCACTTCTGTACCAAGCCAATAACTTCCATTTATACGATAGCATATTATGTCTAAGTATTTCCGGTATAGACTTCAGGATTGCAAGTGAAGAAGAGTCCCATGCTTCCCTCAGGAGGTGTCTATTTTGGATTGTTTCTGCCAACATCTTTTATTTCTTTGTTAAGGTCCTTCTAATTGTTAACGTGATAAAGTACAATAAAGTATGAAGTAGCTGGGTGGGAAAGAAAACCCAAATGTATCTAAGCATACTCAGCTTACAATAGCCAAATCTTCAGCAGGTCTCCAAAGGATCAAACATTCTTATGGTGTTACAATGCACAGTCTCCCTGTTCCACTCCGCCCTGCAACAAAGGCGAGACAAAGATAGAATTGGAACCTACTTTAATGAAATCCTGCTGTTTTTTTTTGCTATTCTTAAAAAAAAAAACAAATTAAATGCAAGAAAAAAGCATTAATATTTCTTTCCACAATCTTAAAATGCAGAAAGACATCAAAATACAAGTATTTTGAGGAGCTTCATTCTCCTTTGACCTTTCTTTCACATTGCTCTGACTTTCTTGGTGTTTCTGGATTAAACTAGAGCTAGTTAAAGAAAGATTGGGTCCATGGTTATTCCAGCAGTGCTAGCCCTGATTCATTGTGTATTGCTATGTATTTTATGACAGAACACTTTCCACATGGTACCAAATATACTCCTGGAAACATGTCCAGCAGCAACATTGACAATGAAGGCTAACTTTTCTGAATGCAAATCCAGTCTAAGTCCACTGACCAAGAGAAAGGAAGAAGACTTCAATGAATTTTCCAATATGACATAGTAAGTCCTGAATTTGAGCTACTATTGCAAGGCATGTGTTTATCATAGAGTGTAACCAGGTATTGATCTGCCTTTCTAAAAATAAAGTAGTAAAAGGTGAGATTTCAGCCATACTGTATGACAGTCAGTGACACTGTGCAAACATCAGCTTCCTGTCTCCCCCAACTGAAAGACAAAACAAATTACTTTTTCATGTTTCATGTAGAAATTTATTAGGCTCACAAGCAATAGCAGTGGGAAAGGACTGTGTAAAACCTCCACTGACAGAAAAAAGAAAGTGAAGAGAAAATTTGTTCCACAGATCCATGTGACTACTGGGCAGCAACAACCTGATGCCAAGGCTGAGATACCCTTTGAGCAGATGGCATCCTTCTCTCCAAAGCTGCAGAACATATCCTGTTACTCCAGAAACAGCTGAGTCTCTTCAGATAATCAGACTGACTGGGAGCATCCACATGGCCTCTGTCTGCCCGATCAGGAGGATGTCTTCCTCACAGCCTTTAAGATACTGTAGCGCACAGATGCTGAGATGCAGAGGGTGAGCAAGAGAGAGGATTCCAGCTGAAAGCCAATGTTTTAACCCTTTTAGGTCTCTTCTGCCCCAATACTCTAAAGCTCAAGTCCAAGAGCTTAAGTCAAGAAAAAAACCTGGACTTTGCGTCCTCCTGATGAAAACTTTAACAGAAGTAACATCTTATAGAAATCGTTTAAGTATCTCCCAGCCTGTTTAGAATACCCTATGGCTGTGAACTCACTTTTCCTTTACACTGAAGGCACAAAGGCAATACAGACTGAGAAAAGCACATCCTTTACCTCCCAAATCTAGACTATATACCTAACAAAAATGCAAGAATATTTTCTAAAATATAACCTCTTTAACATCAATCCCTCTGCACACAAAAGGATGCAAAAGAAATTGGTCACTTAAAACATTTGGAAACAAAACTTGGAATCCCCAGTCATTACTGGCCAATGTCAGTTACACTATTTCCTCTCGCACTGCCGGCGGAATTTTTCTCCAGATGATGCTCTCCAAAATAAGGGCAAATTAGTCACAGTTATTAGGGTGTGAAAGTAATAAGATAGATGCTTTATTGTAGGGTGTGGTGTTTTTGCATAGCCTTTTGCTTACTCAGCTTGATGTGGCTAGATGTGAACAAGATGTGCTTTTGTCAGTACAGTGCTGTGCTACAGTCTCTGCAGGGCCTATCATATTATCTTCAGATCAGAGTCTTGCTGGCTTGGAGCATAGGTGGAGCAAGTGAAATTTTGTCTGTAAAAGGCCATAAATCTGGCTGTTGGCTCCATACAGATAAAATTCTATATTCCAGGGCTAAATTTAGGCCTACAGCTGTTATTCAGACATGCCCCTTGTTGAAGCAAATATGGTAGGTCACATCAAGTTGTTCTCAAGATGAAGGCTGGGACCCCCAGTAGTTTTCAGACCATTTCTAAAGAGCCTCCACCATTTCTCTTAATGCCTTTAAAGAGGAATAAAGCAGCCTCCTCTCTTCAGGCTAGTTTCAGGGAAGTCAGTATTAATGGAGATCAAGCCCAAAAAGTTCTAGGGAAGAAAGATTTGTCTGATCCTGCTTTTCTGCTCAATTGTTTCCTCACACCCACTCATCCTTACCTGTTCTGGCCCTCCTTCCCAAATGAACCAAAAGTCATTCATGCAGCCTTTCAGGTTGCTCTACCTTTACAGTCACATTAAGATAATGTTGATTTTTCATTCGCATTTTCCAGTTTATCTCAACAGAAGCCTGTTTGTGAAGTGCGAAGTAGGATGCTTCTATTTTTGAAATAAGATGGTTCATGCAACAGCTTTTGCTAAAATAAAAAGGTGAAAATTAAAACAGACTTCATTATTTTGGTGAAAATTAATCTGTTTACAAGCCTAAACAGGAACACAATTTGCTTTCTTCATACCTCTCTCTCAAGCGTTACTTTCAATAGCAAAGACACAGATGCTGGCAAACAGTGTTTAGTAAGTGACCCCCTCATTGCATTTCTTTCCTTGGTAGAAAGCACAGGAATTTGATTTGTTTGCCTCTAATCTAAGCCATGAATCATCTCTGTTATCAGTTGAGGTGGGGGAAACTGAAATAACTAATCATACCAAAGCCTCTGGTGCTGGAATGTTTAAATACAGCTTAATTGGCAAAACCTCCCACAGTTCCCTTGAGCTGATCCAGTCATACTCAAGAGCTGCTTCTTAAAATGCTGTGGTTTGTGTATATCTGTATCTATAGCACTACCTGTCTATCGGCCTATAGATATCTATCCTCAGTTTGCAGCCTCTGATGGGTTGACTTCCACATTTAGTTAAAACAAACCTAGAAGCTTAAGCCTAAGACCTCAAAGGTGTTTAGAAACCTAACTGCTATTTAGGAAGGAAAATCTCACTCATTTAATAGCAAGAGTTTACTGCCTAAATGTTTTCCAGGACTGGATCCCACTTACATTGGTGTAAATCAGGAGCGACTCCACTGAATTTAATGAAATTGCACTAGTATAGTCAAATTAGGATCAGAAAGCCATTTTTTGTCCTATCTTCAATCTGGAGTTAACTTCAAATGCTGTGAATGTCATTATTCCTGACTTCTGGGCCATGCTAGTTTGAGATGGGCATTTGATGCTCTGTGCTACCACCTACAGACCATTTGTGGTCATTTCAGACAATTAACTCAAGCAGAGAATACTGCTGCTAATTATGTCAAGTGCACATAGCATGAATCTGTTGCCTGTTGTCCATGCAGACTTCAGTGAAAGGTCAACCAGAAAAAGGAATCAGGAGAAACAGAAAAGGTGAATGACGGTGGGAAGCATGCCTGGATCCAACAACAAGTTGGAAGTAGAGGTTGCATTTACATTTGTTGCTTTGCTTCAGAAATCATGATGTTGATGAGGTCTGCCGATTATCTTCCCATTCATCTGGCAGCTAAAATCACGTGTGCCTTTAGAAAACAAAGCATTGCTTTGGTAGAGTAGTGTTTTTGCTAAGACTGTCTGCTCTGTTTCAAAATCAGATGTTCTGCCTTGCAAAGGTTTATTTGTTTTACATGCATACACACCCGTATCTATTACATTCAGCATTCCCACACTGGTTTTCCCTTTCTTCTTTCCACCTTTTGCAGCTGCAGAACAGCATGGTAGATTCAATAGGAAAATAATAGAAAAATCCTTGATTTGGTTTTCAAACTTTAACCTATATAAAATTGTTTGCCTGTTTGATTTTTCTCTTTCGAGTTCAAACGTCCCAGGATGCTAAGCTTCGTGCCCTACATAAAACAGGATTATGAAATGTGAACAAACATATAAAATCTATGAAATCTACATGGGAAAACTGTTCAAGATGGTAACTATCATGCAATCTGTCTCTTTCTATAGAGATATTTTATATATATTATATATGTATGTAGAGAGAGAGAGAGAGAGAGAGAAACTCCTCCAGAATTAAAAAAAAAAGTAGCTTTAATCTGGTACAAATAGTACCCCTGAAATGCAGACATTATCTAAAGGATGAAAGAGCAAATGTTTGGAGAAGGAAGTCAAAATAACAACCATTTGTTTAAAACAAAAAAAACAAAAACAAAAAAAACACAAAAAACAACCTGTTCTGTTAAACATCCTGGTCAAGCCCTGAAGTTTCTCCCTGCCTGTTTCTATACATAAAAAGAGAATAACCACATCTCAAAGTATTTTGCTAAATACATCATTGTTTCCAAGGTGATTAGATGACAGTAAGTAGATGCCTTCTAAGTATCTAAGGCTCTGCTAAACAAAGTATGAGGATTTCACCTGACAGCTCAAGTTTCCAGCTGTGCATCTCACCACATTTGGGATGTTATCAGCACTTCATAGGGGGAATCAGTACAGATTAACTGTTTGTGTACCAGCTGCCTCAGCTCACAGCTTCCCCGCACACCCACATCACAGCAAATCCCACTTCTGCAGTAATTACTAAGCTTCCAGGGAGCAAACACGCTGCCTGTCTTGCCATCCTGGCAAAAGAGTGATGACACTCAGCAGATGGTTCTGTATAGTGATAATGTTTTTTAAGAGCTTTAGACAGAAAGATATGCAGAAAGCAGTAGTTTGAGTTTAGAGAAGTAAGGTCTCAATCCCTATGCAGACAGAATTCCCACCGAATTCAATGAGAGCTAACACTGAGGCATCATGGCAACATCTTTACCTTAAAGACCGCATTCATGGGTCTCTGGTTAGCAGAAGCCATTAGGAAACGTGGAAGAAAACATGATCAATTCAAGTGAAAATCCTTCAGGAATAACTGACATAAAAGTACATTTATATTACTTGAGAAAGAACGACTTTGGTTTTCTGCCACTTAAAGCATTCCTTATCATGAGGAATTCACATTATAAAACTTTCAGAACTCCTAAATGGCTTTTCTAGCAGGAAATTAGTCTAATTGCATTTTGTTCTTCAGTGCATCTACCCTTTCAAAATTCAGTCAAAAGTAATACATTATCAGCTAACAGATACCGTCAAAATCAGTTCTTC